AATTGCACTTGAAGACCTAAGAGTGATTCTTAATGCAATATTTCACAAATGCATGGGGTGTCCGAAAATTTTTTTCCACCACTGTATGTCTTCAGTCCTTGCTGCAGTTCTGGGTTTCAGCTTTTTCATCTCGGTTTCAAATTCTTCTGTGTTGTAAGGTTTGGTGAGAGGGTTGACTGGTTGTGGTTGGTCTTATAACACATATTTGCGGTGTTCCTCTGTGGATCGAGAGCAGTTTTGGCCACCAGCACTGTAATGCAACAGAGATTGCTGTGACCATTGTATTCATGGGAAGTGTGATTTGGTCTTCCAGGAGGCAGCAGATTGTGACCCATGCTTTCCTGCTGTTGTTCATCATGTTGATATTTTCTATCATCTCCTTTCAGATTTTCCTTTTTCCTTCCCTGCCGTCATTTATCAGAGTTTCTCCAAGTTCCATGGTGATAGAGGAGAAAGGGTCAGTATTATATTCCTTGTAGGAGACACTCAGAAGCTTGTACGGTGTTTCTGAGAGCCCTGGGGTTGTCTCTGTCTGGCATCCATCTTGGTCGTCTGGCTGAACCTTTCACCACTTCTGTGAAACTGGTGTATTGCCAGGATGGTATGACTCTTCCCTCCTGTGCTGGTTGCAATCAGCCACAACCTGAGGAGGCTGGCAGATGAGGACAGGAACAAGTCTTTCCAGTGGGTATCAGCAACTCTCTAAGGATCCCTGCTTCACCTGCACAGCATCACTTTGGTATTAGAACACAGACGAGGCCTTATTATCTCAGCAAAGAGAACAAAAGCAGGGTGTAAATATGCTGAAATATGCTGCTCTGCAACGTTTGTTCTGCGCGATTAATGCGACTGCCCAGTAATGTTATTATTTGTTTCTGCAGGAATAATTGGAATACTCTTTTTCAAGATATCCCAGCAAATTAAAAAAATTAAGATCTGATTCAAGCAGAGCCCTTTTTATTAATGAATTGTTGTTTTTCTTTGCACCTAAAGTTTTGGAGTCTCTGAGAACTTATGATATGTCAGATTATAAAACAAAAGCGCCTGAGGAAGATCTGATTGACTGAAACGTTGCACGGCAACAGTGAATAAAAAGACATTGTGGGAGCTGAGAACAGTGTGCAGTTACCACTTTGTCACAAATTCTTGTCTTTTCAACGTGGGAGTGTTAAAAGCAATTACACCGAGAGACAGTTTTGCCTTCAGCATGATTTCAGACACTCTGCTAAATTCCATGACATTAAATAATCTTCATAGTTCGGTGCTGCCATACCAGGAAGTTTTACATCAAATTGGACCCGCTTGAGCTTATAAATAAAAAAATGTTGGTCATGGAAATAATATCAGTTGCTTAGTAAATACTAAGGATAGACCGATACATCGGCCGGCCGATATATCGGGCCGATATTTGAGTTTTTTATTTGTATCGGCATCGGCCGATACTCGCGTGAGTTCGGATTTATTTTTCCCTGGCACTTTTTTTCATTTGAAAGTATGTGGTTAATTTGAACAAAGCTGTTGAATCCTACTGTGTACAGTAGTTGTTGTTTTATTTATGCTTCAGCTTAAATATTTGTTTATTTTTATAGACATTACTGGAAGATTTAAGAGCACTGAACTCTTTTTTTTATTTGAATGTATAATAATAATAATAATATTCTACCTGTTCTACCTCAACTTTCCATCTTGTTTTAGTATTTTTTACTGTTCAATAAATGTTTCTTATTTTAAACTTGAGACCTGTAATATTTGTTATCATTGTGTCATTTTTTGTGATGTAAATTGAGGGAGCAAAAGCAGTATCGGCCCCAAATATCGGCTCAAGAAAATCGGCAGTCCATAATCGGTCATCGGCTAAAGGTGATGGAAAAAAATCGGTATCAGCATCGGCCCTAAAAAATCCATATCGGTCTATCCTTAGTAAATACTGTATTATACAATAGACTTAAGAAACAAAACAACATATTCCTTGCACTGTTTTGTCTTTTTTTTTTTTTCAATGAGCCATGTTCTGGTGAACAAATAACCAATACCTTACCTATATGTTTCATACTCTCGGTAATAATTTGATCTATTTCAGTTCCTCTGTCATGTTTTTTAGGCTCACTTATATTAAACTAAACTAGTTAAGCATGGTCATTTTTAAATAGTGACATTAAGGCTACGTCATTTGTTACTACGACATAAAAGCATCAGTGTTCATTTGTTTGAATGCATATAGTGTCAGCACATATGTGAATATTCCCCCTGAAGAGATTTCTCAACTTTAGTCAAATACCTTCATTCACTGACACCACTTTGAGGGAAAGTGCCACCCAGTGTGGAGCTGAGTTAATGGATGACTGAACTTGAAGAGACCCAGGCACGCTTCAGATCACCCAGACTTTATCCTGCTTTTGGCAGGTTTGACTTTGAGGAGCTGTTGCTGTGGTGACAATTCCTCCAGTCACAGAAGATTACATTACTTTTCATTGCCACTGTGTTGCCAGGCCAACAGCTTTGGTCCTTGTTTTGGTCCCTGTCAGCTACTGCATTAAGAAACATACCAACAGGAAATACAAAGGGACCTGTTTAGAATGCTTACGTTGTCAAGTTTGTCAAGGTAGACCTTTTCTGATGGGGGATCAGTTTGAAATATTGCAGCGAGTAATGGAACAAGAAGGAGTAGCCACAGTGAGCTGTTGGATGAAGAGCCGCCGGCGACAGGCTGCAAACCTCAAACTTAATTAGGTAAATTAACCAACTCCCTTTACTTTGCTCTGCTGTCCACAGACTCATGCCACGAGCAGCATAATACCAGATAACATTTGCTCACAGAATGACTGTCTATTAAAATGACAATAGTTTGTTTTGCTGCCCCTAGAAGTCTGTGCCTGGCATTTCCTGTTACCACCACTAAGTACAGGTGTCACCAAATTGACCCGGACTGAAATCTTACAGATTGCCCCATTAAAACAAGCTTTACCTTCATACATACAACAGAAATTAGAGCTTTGTTTACAGGTTTCAAATCTCAAATTGTTTTCATGACAAACACCTAAAGTGGAACACCTAAAAAGATTCCTTTGCTTATTTGAGATTAAAGGAAATGGCCAATTTAGAATGAAAATACAGACAGTACTTACTGACCCTCATGCCGACAAGAAGTCCAGTCTAGTTTTTTAATCCACAAAACTCGTTCAGGGTATTGGGGTATGTTTACATGGCAACTCACGCGAGACTCGAGAACTAGCCCCACCACTAGCCATCAGCTAGTCTCGCGCGAGTTGCCATGTAAACACAGCACTCCTGCAGGGCAGGCTAACTGACCACGGTAAGAAATTATGCTATAAAAGTGGAGTAAATTACGTCTTTTCAAGTCAATTTTGCATGCCGCGGCTTCAGGGCATTTGGATTACGACGGACGAGCTGTTCTGACGTTTTTGAAATGCATTAGCGGAGATTTATTACGTTTTCAAAATGTGGGTTCCATGCACTTCAAGTGTAGCTGTTATTCCGGCTAGCTGTTATCCTCCTATACCCCGAACAAGTTTTGGGGATTAAAAAACTACACTGGACTTCTTGTCGGCATGAGGGTCAGTAAGTACATTCTAAAGTGGCCATTTCCTTTAACTACCTTACGCCACTGACCAAGACCAAGACCAAGAAAAAGCTCCATTCTCTATCAAAACTGAAATTTAAAGGGATAGTTTGGATCTTTTGAAGTGGGGTTGTATAAGGCACTTATCTATAGTCAATGTATTACCTACATGAGATGGCAGTCAGCATGCTCACAATTTGGAGAAGCAAGCAGTAGTACTTGTTAACAGCTTCAGTTCCCCATCTACGTATGCCCTTGTTAAGCCACCTGACTCCATTGACAAAATTAGTCATTTTACCTCCCTGAACTAGGTAGCTGTTGGTTTTCCACTGCTTCAGTCAGTTAGTTTGTTTGTGCAGTTGTGTGATTTTGGTCAATCTGAACTAACCCTTTAAAATGCCAGAGTCACATAATAACATAAAAACACTAACTGATTGAGGCAGTGGTAGACCAGCAGTTCCTGTGTTCAGGGGTGTTAAATTAGTGTTTTTCTTAATGGAGTCTGGCTTTGAGGAGGGGGATATAACAGTTTCTGCTCTGTGTTGGAAGTCACAGCTGATGGCAAGGTAAAGGTAAAGCAGTAAAAATATTCTAATTATGGCATCCACTCTAACTGATACTATTTTTTTTTTTTACTTTTTTAAGTGGCTAAAATGTGTTTTGCTGTTGCCTTACTTCACAGTAGAACAGTTACGCGAATCCACTGGTTCAACTTCACAAAATTAAGGTAACAATTTGCATGCATTTTTAATGTAGTTCCAAATCTGGCCTTACTTGTAATCTGACAAACTCAATTTGTTTAATACAACCAACACAATTTGCTTTGACCTCAAAAACCTTAATTAAGTTGCACCAACTTATTAATTATCCAAAAGTTGTGGTTACATTTAGTGGTCAAATTATTTTATTTAAGATATTCCAACTTATTTGTTTTAATTCCATGCTACTCAAAAATGTCAACTGTTTTTGATTTTGACCAACTTCTTAAAATAAGTTGTCTAAAACACTTTAATGTAACAAAAGTATTTTTCTATGCTGAAAAACTTCTTCATTTTAAGTGTTATCCACTAACCCCATGTATCTTTTTTTAAAGTGTACATAGCTTAGGTGGGGGGCGACTAACAGCAACTGTAGGTAGTACACTGACTATGGAAAAGTACCTCATACAGCCCCACTTCAAAAGATTCGAACTATTTCTGTTTGACTTATTATTTTCGAAAACTACAACACAAGGTAAATAATGTTAAAATCATAATGTTAAAACATATGAATATAGTACTGTTACTACAGTTGAATAATCTCTAACAATATGATTATATAAAAACAATCTTACCTTAAGGTGCACATCTTGTGAATTCCCTATCTTCTGCAAGGATACGCAGTTTGTCACATGATGTAATATTTCTGCAGGTGTAATGAGTGGGAGTACTGCAGACTGCCCAAGGCCACCTCAGTGCTGTTCATCTGTGAATATTCTCCGGTTCAGCTCTGTGTAAGAAAAGAGACCTTGGTGAGTATTTTTTTGTTACCTCTCATCTCAGTTTCATACATGTTGATAATATTTTAGTATTATTCGAGACGTTTTGGTAAACAGAATTTTTCATCCTTGTTGTTGTCCTGGTTTGGGGGAAGGACAGCTAATGGGAGTGAAGAGGCAACAAGTATGCAGTGCTCTCATGTTGACTGAGCCTAACATTCCTCTGAGAAGGTAAAAAAAAAGAATTTAAAACATGTAATACCAACAAATAATTATCACAATGACACTTTAAACTCTTTCAACACATCAACAGGAGTTACAACAGGAAAGAGTGTGAGCTTCCTGTTAGCCATAGGCACTCTTGGAAGCAGTTCCAAGTGTGACTGTTCCCAAATATCTAATGAAAAATTATTTCAGCCAAGTTTGAAACATCTAGTAATATACAAATTCCAAAAAAGGTATGACTTATTATTTATGCAAGGTGTATCACTGCATGCCTATGTCCACATGATAATGAAGAGCTATCACTCTGACTGTTTTAGCAATTACACCCAGGAGGAAACGTGCAGGTCATGATCATGGGAGAAGAGTGGACAGTCATAGAAATGAGCCTCATATTATTCAGAAGTGTCATATTATTAAGAAGTGTGTCCATAAAACATCATGAAACAAAACAAGAGATTAAAAATGAAGAAACTAAACAGCTCTTTTTTGTTGGGACATTTGTGGCTTTCCACAGCACTAGGGCTAAAAATTAGAATCCCAGCACCAATGACAGTAGCCTTAAATCAGTATTAGTATCCTTCATTCAATACCCATGAAGTGAATGGATCAGGGTTGGTAAACTTTTTTGTCCATCTGCCACTGTGGCTGTTTTTGAATCCACCAGCCACAGTGGAAGATGGACAAAAACGTTTACCAACCCTTCTGTTGGTAACACATTATATTACTTCGTTACTGCTAAAAAGTAATATATTACTGTAATATGTTACCCCAACACTGTTCCTAAGAGTTCTCCTTTGCATCATACATGCATTTGGCCATGTCATTGAGTTAGTTTGCTGTCTCTCTCAAGTAGCTGTCCATTCATCACTCACTCTACAGCAAGAAACTGAACTTCAAAATAAAAGCTCTGTGCCAGAAATTCACTAGACTTAAAAATAAGGTGTTTTTACAAACTTGATACTTGTGAGTCAACTACATGACCCACCAGTTGGGAACCACTGCGATAGATTACCATTGTTTTTCTTTGGCTAATGAGTGTGTGAAGCAAGTCTCACAGCCACTTGCATATTTCACCAGCATTTGGCTGATGCTAATTTGCAACCCTTGAATGGAATAGCGTGCAGACATTCAAATGATTTGGTAGCATCTCGGCACACAGAACTGACAACTGTTTGACTTAACCACACCACAGACTAAATGGGTTGTAGCTGCAGGTGTGGGAGTGTGTGCTAAGTAGTGGGGCCAGTTTGTGAGAGTCTTCCAGCACCATAGATATTAATAATCAGATACTGGATGGCAAGATGGCGCCTATTTATGCCAATGGAGTTGTTGGTCTGGCTCATTCTGGGTTTCTCCCACTGGCCTTGCCCGCGAATTCCAGCTGGCTCATAGACTTCACAATGTGATGACGTCATCCATTTTTAAATAATTTTTCTGGGCTCGCGGAAAGTTTAAAAAATATTAAACATCCTTGGATAAAAAAAAAAAAAATGATAGAAAGAGTCATAATTCACCTTGTTTGCACAGTTTTACAGACGATAATAAGAAATGTAAGATGTAAACCTCATTCTTTATATTTGAGTAAATGCGCTTTCCATTACTGGTCATTTGCTGTAAATAGAAATTGTTAAAACTATTAAAATAAACATCTGATCCTACCATAAGACAGACTTTAAACTCATTTTCTCAAGCCTGTCTTTAGTGAGTACAATAAAACGGCTCCAGGAACACACACACACAATAATATTTTGAAGTATTAGTCACGCTAGGATATCTACATTTAATTGTAGATAGAATTATCTGCAATTAAATTAAATTCTGTTTAACCCCAGGGCTGTTCACTGTTGGGTTTTAGCATGCTCCTACTTCAGGATGTATGAGCTCATAGGAACCAAACGAATAAGACATTGTATAAAGAGCTGAGGTCTGCTGTCTCATCGTCACTTGCTACAGCTGACAAAATGCTTTCAACAAGATTGAAAATCATCGCCTGTGAGTACACGACCTGTTGTTGTCTTTAATACTCCTTAACTGTGTCCTTTATAGGATCCATAATATTTTCAATGTTTGTTTTTTTTATCTTTTAGTCCTGGCTGCAAGTTGGTGTTGGACATCTGATGGTAAATTCTTACAATTTATATCATTACTTTCCTTAATTTACTACAGTAGGCTACATGTGTGCACAGTATGAGCAAGTGAAATGTCTGTCTAGCTTACATATGAGGTGTCTCAAGATTTAGAAACATACAATTGTATTGAATATAATAACAGTAAAAAGTCACTGGACATGCTGTTTTGTGCTATGACCTATTTAAGTGCTGGAAGTTGTTATTTATGTGACAACGCCTGAATGCAACACAAGCTCAGCATGAGTGCCGTGCTACGCTGCTTGTCTGTGCATAACAGCAGTTTGTTGATGGTTATTTAGGCTACACACTGTCCATAACAATAACTTCGTCAGCTGATAAACTGCACCAGGCTCGGGGTCAGGTTTGGTCAGGAAAATGCGGCCCAAGCTGCTCTAGCATGCTCACCTGTGTGTGGCAGAACTCCACCGTGCGCGATACAGAGAGCAGAGGAGAATTGTTAATGCGTGACCATGTAGAGACAGAAATGACACGATGACATAACACCATAAATAGTATATTGTTATGTTATTATATGAAGCATCCGTCGCGCAAAATAATATCAATGGGGCTGTGGGCAGGACATTGTTACACAGCTGTGCCTGTGACTTCAGGCAGAGAGACTGCTGCATCAGAGCCGAAGGAGCATGTTTTAAAATACATTTATTTTATCAATTAGTTATTAACTTTTACTATTTTTAGCAACTTGCCCGATCGGGCAAGTGAGTTGTTAGTTTACATGCCCGACCTTGAGTTTTACTTGCCCCGGGCAATCGGGCAATCCTTATTGTTGAGCCCTGCACCACAAAAAAAAAAAAAAGATGGAATAATATAGCTGTATTCAGTAATCGTAGGGTTCAAGCCAGCACAGAGCTGTGAACGATCAAGATTTATGAGAGTGTCTGACATCTGGATTAAAGATAACTAACAGGTTCATAAGGCGTTCAAACAGACACCAATTCATTTATGACCGTACCTGTGCTGGGCCACGCTTTGTGCTCTTCTTTGGCAACGTTGTCGCCCCCCCCCCACCCCCATTAGTCAATTATGAAAACATTTTAAGGAATCACTTCAACATCTCAAATAAAAATATCCACCAAGTTTGGCAATGTTTGGACAAACTGTCATTGCTTCATGGCCAAATTTTCCACAAGGCCAGTGCACTTGTTAAGAACTAGTAGTGCCCCCTATTGAGCAATTTCAAAACAATTTTACACACATGGTCAAACATTGTTATAAAACATATCTTGGGAGTTTGATTTGTGTTATGCCACGCCCATTTTTTGCATTCATAGCGCACCTCTATGGTCAACTTGAATGAAACTTTCAGTGTAAGTTTCAGGTACTTATGTGGACATATCCTGTAAGTTTTGTGAGGATTGGCTAAAGGATTGTGGAGTTTGGTCTATTGATATGCTGAGCCGTGCCACTTTTGAGGTTTATCGGTCAGTATCTACAAAATGCAGTAAGATATTAACACGCTTTATGCAACTTTTGGTGACTTGGTCCATTAATAATCCACAAAAAATAAGGCGGCAATCGAGTGACATTTTAGTAGATGTTAAAAATGTACTAACAGGTAAAAGGTACTGGTTTTTGAGGCTTTGAGCTAGACTTGTCTCTCCAATTTCAAGTTAATCAGACTTACATTGAGAGGAGTCTGGCCTTTCAAAAATTGAGTTTTTGGGCCTCAGTTACAGCCCCCATCAGGCCGACTGGGGTCATATTTCTTAGACAGCAATTGCATAAAACTTTCAATCATTGATGAAAATTTCATGTGTCTGAGATGGACTATCTCCCAGGAATTTGGAAAAACATTTCTTGAGAAACAATATTGATTACAATCCCAAGGTTTAGTCAAAAATGAATAAGACATTATTAGAAAAGTCCATATCTGTCTTTTTTGGAAAAATGTAAATTCATTGTATATCTCTCAAGGTTTGCATTCATTATGTGATGACATTTTAGTGGGTTTATCAAGCAAGTTGCATCAACTGTTAGCTGGTTAATCTCAGTTTAAGTTAGTTCTTGTCAGTGTTACAACAAATTTTATGTTAATTTCTGTGTCACCCTCAGAAAAAGGAGGCCTTGCCATTGTGAGGGCCAGTTTCAGACGTTTCGACCAGAACACCGTCACTGTAACCCCTTCAGAAATGACCCACTCTGCAAGTTAAGACGCTGAAGACAGCATGAGAAGCTTGTATGTATTGGTTCAAAACACAAAAGACTGAGTGGAAGCAGAGGGAATGCATTTTCATTTTGTGCTATAAAATAAAACTAGTTTTAATAACCAGCAGTAGTGCTTCTCTGTGTAGTAAGTGTAATAATAAACACATGTCCTGTGCACAGTTTTGCAAACAGTTGAAGCATTTAATGTGTCATGTGACGCCTGAGGATGTTTTTTGTAACTTTTAGGAGGTTTGCTTCTGACAACAGCATCCCAGAGAGGAGCAGCGACTTCATAATTGGTTCCATCACATTCATCCACTGGCTTCTTCCAAACACATGTCAACAAAGATGTGATGGAATGAATTAATAAAAGAGTGCATCTAATGACTGTGTTTGTCTTTTCTGAAAAAGTCGTATCCACACTAGTGCGATTATTTTATGAACATGCGAAAGTCAGCTCTGCTTAAGACCAAAGAACAGAACCTGTCTTTCTTTATACATGTTTATTTTACTCTTAACAGGTGTTTGCTGCTGGCAGTAGCAGAGAGTAGTAGATGGGCTGGGGTGAATGGTTTGTCCATGTCCTGGATGTAGGGTGAGCCTGAGTCATTAACAACATGGTAGACAAGTACCAGTGTCTTGAATCGCATTTGAGCAGCCACTGGTAGCAGGTGCACAGTGCTGAGGAGCAGCGTAGGGTGGAAAAACTTGAGCAAGTTGAAGCCAGGCGGCCAGGAGTGGGTCGCAGCAGCCTAGGCCTGAGATAATAGGAGCAGGGACCAGAACCCGCTCCACCTCCTGGCCTTGCTTTATAAGATTCTGGCCTCCTCCTTGGCCTGACAAAGCTGCCTGGGATTAGCTGTAAACCAGGGTTTGTCATTGTTGCATGTACAAAAAGTTTTGGCCGGCACATACATTCCCACATAACAGCTGATATAAGACGTCACAGTGTCAGTGAGTCCATCCAGGTCTAGCTGCAGCCACTAATCTCTCCAATCAGAGCAGTGAAAGCGGGCCTGTAACTCCAGCTTTGCCTCCTTGGTCCAAGGCAGCTGGGGGACAGAGCAACATGCGTCCTTTAATGTGGTGTAGCAATGGTCCAGTGTGTTTTAACCCCAGTGGGACACTTCATGTGCTGTCTTTATTTTGGAAATTCGTGGCTGAGGTTTGCTCTGTTAAAACCACCAAGAACATTGAGCAGGATGTTTTTCTTCTATGTGAGTTATCTGGTCAGCAGAATAAAGAAGAAAAACTACTACAGTGAATAAAATGGTTTACAGTCAATGAAAACGGTCTTTAAGTGGAGACTGTACATTCTCCTTTAGAATCCCCCTCGTTTTTGCCTAATAGCTCTGTTATGCAGTCCGCTCAGAGGAGCTGGAGGCTCAGCAGATGGGGTGAAGTGTCTGGAATGGGCTCACCAAGCAGGTTTTAGTGAAGCTCAGGGCAGCAGGTCAAGGAAAGTCCATGTGTGCTGTGTTGAGAAGCAGCACATCAGCAGATTTGAGGATTCCCTGCCCTGCCTTATATTGGATCTCTTTGCCTGATCTGACTGCCTACCTGTTTTTTGTTCTTGACCCTGAAAGATGTAATGTTGGATTCAGGATGGGCTGACAAAGCCAGGTTTTGGTGAAGCATTGGGCAACAGATCTGGAAAAGTTCAGAAGTGCTCACTTGAGAAGCAGCACATCAGCAGATTTGAGGATTCCCTGGCATGGTATATCTGTCAGATAAATGGTGGACGTTTGTCGACCAGAAAGGTCAATTGTCGGCAAGATTGGCATGGGCAGGAAATCAAGGAGTGTGGGATCATTTTGAGAAGGTGAAGGATGAACCCAGGGTGATATATAAACGCTATCATTCGTCGACTACAAACATGACATATCATCTGAAACGTGTATGTAGCTAGCCTTTCGCCACTTAGCACAATCTTTACTGCTTTACCGACAGATGACATATTTTGCAAGCCTCATGTTCTATACTTGAGTAAATGTACTTTCCATCAGTGGTTATTAGCTTTAAACCAAAATTACTTTTCAGGCTCCTAAAGATGCAACAAAAGAAACATAATCACTCACTGGGAATTTTTAATATAGAGATGGCTTGCCCCCTCCACTCCCTTAGTGCTCTTACAAAACAAAAACAACTGATGATGGACACACTAGACCTGTGGTAAGAGGGGACTGTGCAATACCTATGAGGAGGACAGTCAGCTTTCTGAGTGAGAGCAGTTCACACATGGATCAGTCCGCCAACACTTATCAAAGACTGTGACACATATTGTTCATTTGAAAACAACATAAATCATGTGTAAAAAACAACCAAGTGTGTGACTTTACTCTGTAACTAACTCGAAATCTGAAGTGTGCTTTGTTTTTATTTCTTATGTATTGTTGCCCCTGAGCTTTTATGAAATATGCTCTGTTAAATGTACAGTATTGCTGTTCCTGTTTTTATGTATTTCATGTGTTTGGCTAAACTGACCCATTACAGAATTGTGAAAGGGAACACTTAATTGTCACAGTACAACACATTGTCAGTTAAATTTCAGGGATATCAATATGTCCATTTAGGAAGTACAAGTGATTGTGAATCAGTTTCACCTGCTTTGGTTAAAAAAAAGTGACAACAGGTGGAATGGAGAGGCAAAAAGGGAATGGTTTTACATGTGGTGGCCACAGACAGAGTTTTGTGTTCTGCTCGTGTCCTTGTCACTACTGGTAGCATGAGGCAGTACCTGCAGCCCAATCAGGTTGCACAGGTAGTCCAGCTCCTCCAGGATGGCACATCCATACGAGTGGTCGCAAGAAGGTTTGTTGTATCTCCCAGCACACGCTCAAGAGCATGGAGGAGTTACCAGGAGACTGGCCGTTACACTAGGAGAGCTGGACAGGGCCGCAGAAGGGCATCAACCCAGCAGCAGGACCAATATCTGCTCCTTTGTGTGAGGAGGAACAGGAGGAGCACTGCGAGAGCCCTACAAAATGACCTCCAGCAGGCTACTGGTGTGCATGTTTCTGACCACACTGTCAGAAACAGACTCCATGAGGGTGGCATAAGGGCCTGGTGTCCTCTAGTGGGACCTGTGCTCACAGCCCAGCACCGTGCAGCTCCACTGGCATTCGGCAGTAAACACCAGAATTGGCAAGTCTGCCACTGGCGCGCTGTTCTCTTCACAGATGAGAGCAGGGTCACACTGAGCACATGCGACAGGCGTCAAAGAGTGTGGAGAGGCTGTGATGAACATTATGCTTCCTGTAACATCATCCAGCATGACCGGTTTGGCGGTGGATGGTCTGAGGAGGCGTATCCTTTGAGGGTCACAGACCTCCATGTCATAGCCAGTGGTACCCTGGCTGCTGTTAGAAATCCTCAGAGTGATTGTCAGACCTTATGCTGGTGCAGCAGGCCATGGGTTCTTCCTGGCGCAGCGGGCCCTGGGTTCCTCCTGGCGCAGCAGGCCCTGGGTTCCTCCTGGCGCAGCGGGCCCTGGGTTTCTCCTGGCGCAGTGGGCCCTGGGTTCCTCCTGGCACAGCGGGCCCTGGGTTCCTCCTGGTGCAGGACAATGTCTGACCTCATGTGGCTAGAGTGTGTAGGCAGTTCCTGGATGACGAAGGCAATAATGCTATTGAATGGCTCTTTCATTTCCCTGACATTAATCCAATTGAGCTCCTATGGGACGTTATGTATCGGTGCATCTGATGGCGCCAAGTCCTGGCATAAACTGTCCAGGGGCTCACTGATTATCTGATCCAGGCCTGACTGAATTATTTATTGTTATTATTTAGTGATTGATTTAAGTGTTCCCCTATTTTTTCAGCAGTGTAAATAAATAATAATAGTTTTTTGAGAATAACTTTTACCAAACTGCCGACTTGAATATTTAATACATTGTTAGACAAACTGAAAACTCATCTTGCAAGTGTCGACAGTAAAGTTCCTCAAGCAACAGACAATATTTGGATTTCAAATGTTTAGATTACACTAAGAGACACGATGACAAGTCATGTCACTTTGCTACCTGTGTACATATTTATGCGCTTAATTTTTTTATTTTTTTTGATTTTGGTCCCATTTTTCATAGATTCAAGTTAAAGATTGGGAATTTTTATGCCCACAAAATAATCATTTCTCTCAAATTTTGGTTGCAAATTTATTAAAATCTGTGTAAGTGAGCCCTTATCCATCCACCTGTCTAGTCATAAAATTCTGTCCTGTCTCTGTGCCCCCAGGGCTGTTGACTGTTGATTTTCAGCAGCCTCCTACTTCAGAATATTTGTGTTGATTTGAAACAAAAGAAGAAGAAATCATATAAAAGCTGAGGTCTGCTCTGTAATCATCACTTGCTACAACTGACAAGATGCTGTCCACAAGACTGACAATCATCGCCTGTGAGTACACGACCTGTTGTTGTCTTTAATGCTCTTGACTTTGGGTGTAACTTTAGTAATGCAACCAAATTATGCTTCATGTCCTTTATAGAATCAACAATATTGATATATGTTTTCTATCTTTTAGTCCTGGCTGCAGCTTGGTTTTGGACATCTGAAGGTAAATTTTTCTTTGATCCTCTAAATTCTTTTCCTCTAATTTCCTTCCTATATTAACTTTTGTTTGTGCCTTCCAAACTTTATTTTACCTTTTTTTATGTGTTCAATTTGTTGTGCAATGTCAAGATCTCTATGTCATCTCCTGCAAACTGAATTCTGTAAATGTTTTTAATCTGTAAACTTTATTCCGTAAACTACCAGAAATAATTTACAGTTTTGAAAAAAATAAAACAATTGGGTAATTGACAGGAAAAAAAGCAGAGATTTACGGAAGCCCTGAGAGGAAAGGTAGAAAAAATATTTGTGAGCAATGTGTGCCAAAAGCTAAGTTTATGCCATACATACCAGAGGTACGAGATCAAGTTTGAGGTTAATTAGGCTGTACTGAAAGCGAGACAGCCATGCAGAATGAAACACAAATTGAACCATATAAATGGCATTGAGTTCAGTTCAGCCAAGTCCTTCTAAGTTAACTTATGACAAATGTCCACTAGAGTCGGGTTGGTTTCAGCTGAAACTGCATTTGCCATTATGGCTGGTTTCTGGCAAATTGGAAAAATAGCCTCCTTCGGCAACCTGTGCTGATGGTATCAAGGTGCTAAATCCAACTTGTATTGCATTGGTAATAAGCAATCTGACAAAGTGAGTTACATAATATTATGTTCATAAATGGACCAACTGAGCCACTAGTGTCTGGCAGGCCATCTGCAATTTAAAGAAGATCAAACTTCAGCAGAGGTGGGAGGGGGGACAAGTGGCGCATGTTGTGTTTGTTTACTAGGAAGACCATGTGTTTTTTGGTTGATGAGACGAGACATGGCAAAGTCATTCTCTCAAGAAAACTGCAACAATATGGCAACATTTTGGATTTCTGAACTTTTGCCAGATGCCCTGTTTTTATTTGTTCCTGTGGCTCACTTTAGAAGTGCCCCAATTGACGAAGTACAGCTGATTTGGGATATCACAATATGAAATTTTTGTTTAAAAAGTAACGTTACAGATTTAGGAAGATGGCAAGTAGGCTACTCAATCGTCTTTTAAGTAGCTACGTCTCCGTTATGATCAAGAGCTCATAGCTGAATCATGTTAGTTTACATAACTATAACCACAATGACCATTTCAATAGCAAAGGTTGAAGAATTTTGGAGTTTCTGAATTGCAGAGGTTGGCGCATTCACTCTTGAAGTATATAATAGACAGCATATTCCAAAAGTATTAACAATATAGCAAAAAGCAAAAGTACAGGCAGTGACAGTCAGACTCTGTTCTAGGGAAGTATAAGCATTGCCTTTGCGCCAAGACCTGTTGGCAGAACAATGGCAGAGAGAAAAAAAAAATGAAAGGAACAGGTTGTGATGGACAAGGTCCTCAAAACCTCAGAAAAGAAACATGACAGGTTTAATATCCCAGTCTGTCAGTGCTGTAGCTGTTTTCAAACACACATCTTTGTGTGTAAGTGCACACAGCGTCTCTCTTAATGGGACATACAGCAGCAGCAGACAGCAGTTCTGCTTTCTGCTACGTTCATATTTTAGATTGTGATCTGAATAATAATGTATTATTCCACCCACCCACAACCCATCAGCTATTAATCAGAATGTTTTTGCTACTGTATGAGAGCTACAATGATGACCGTGGAAACCTGACCTGTTGGCTGGTATTTGAAATGCATGTGGTTGGCTAATCAGAGCATTATGATTGTGCTGTATCAATAAGGTTACAAAAAAAAAGATTCAGTCTGTCTCTCCTGCCCACTCGCTGGCTGAGTAGACTGCATATTAGGGGTGGGAATACCCAGAGGCCACATGATACGATATTATCACGATACTTAGGTCACAGTACAATACTATTGTAATATAAAATGTGTTGAAACGTGCTGAGTATTGCAATAACATATGCTGCGATATACTGAGATTCATTACCTTTTTTCAGCTGCAAATTGTTAGGGCTGCCCCCTAATGGTCAACCAAACTTTAGTCGACCAATGATGTCATTAGTCGGCAAGATTTCATTGGTCGCTTAGCCGCAGAAAATAAAACAACAAACAAATGTGAAACTCTATTAGGAGCTGGGCCTATACGACTGGACCATGTGGGAATTTAATTTGAAAGGACAGACACAGGAAGAGGCCACGCTCAGCAGTCAGACAGGAGTCATGTTACAAACCAGTCACAGCTGACAGATATCCTTTCCCTTCCTCCATGAATAATAATATAAATATGGAAAAGTTGATCATATAAACTTTTCTCTCCTGTCAATCATCTCACAAGCCCTAAAATTTTCTTTGCAAGACCCATCCATGTTGGGGACCTCTGCTCTACAAGCGTGACTAAGTGTGTCAACTTACTAACACAATGTTTTGCTGCAGGAAAAATCTACTATGATGTGGCATGTCCCGGTGTCAACAGTGAGCTGCGTTGCCGTATGTATTAATTTCTACTTAAACATAATATAAAATCCATTCACTCTCAAGCTTCAGCTCCTCTCTTCCCTCTCCTACCATCATGTATTGTTAATACTTTGCATTATGATCATGTTTTGTGTATGTTCAGCTCAAGGACGATTGATTGAAGTGCTATCCATGCAATATGGTAAGAAGAGTTCTGTTGACTGCGCTGCCAGAAGCCAGCCTGCCACGAGTGTGAGGGCGCAGTGCATACACTGGAGGATGATTGGATGGGTCAAGAGCATGTAAGAGTTTTTCAATTCTGTTTGGAACAAAGTTGGTGAGCATATTTTTTTCAATAGGAATATGAAAAGGTTTCATTTGAGGTGAAAACTTTCTAAATGATCCTTAATCCAACATTTCACAAAAAAGGAAATGTTAGAGGAAATCCTAACCCCAACCCTTACCCTTGTTAAAAAAACAATCAAATGTTAAAATTGTCTTTGTGCAGACATTCTCTCATGCATAAAAAATCTTGCCTGTGCAATATCTGAATATTTGAACCTTTTCCAATATATTCCTCCAGCTGTGACAACTTGCAACGCTGCCGACTGCCCAAGCCCAATGTTCAGATGTTTATATGCAATAAAGATAAAGATAACTTCATTCAGTACAAGTACAAGTGTAACATCAAAAGTCCTGGTGAGTATTTTAAGCACCCCAGAGGACTAGCTGACGTACAGCAGCATAATTGCATAGATATCACTGAAGATGTTCAGATGATTTTAGGATTGAAAGCTAAGATCTGATATGACCTCATCCTCTGATGTTTTGACAGATGTGAAAACGGCTGTTTTCTGTGAAGGACAAAAAGCGCTCATTGAGTGTCGTAAGAATGCTTCTTTAATCCTCTCTGCATGGAAATGTTTAGATATTAAGAAAAAAACATGACACCTCTCTCCATGATGTTTTTTATAAAATGTTCATACCCATATTCCTTTAACCCTGAATTTAAAAGTGCAGGCCTGTTATTTTTATTTCACTTTTTAGCATTACAGTAATGTAGTATAAGATATTGTTTTTGTTTAGAGTGAGCGGCCCTATTCATACAGCATGATAATAGATTCATTATGAAAAAAAGATTATAGGTAATTGTAAAAAGCAGGTCGACCAAACATTCGTCAACCAAAGGTCCAGTGTGTCGGATTTGGTGGCATCTGTTGGCAAAAATGGAATATAACAGTAATAATGTTTTAATTAGTTTATCATGAAACTAACTGAAGCTAATGGGGATTTATACACTGAATCAACGCCATACCTACGGCGTAGGTTATGCGTTGATGAAGAGCCTATGCCATAGTCTCACGTGCACCTTCACAGAAATGTAACTACACGTCACGGTGACGCAGACCTCCTGTCTGTTTGTGTAAGGTGAAACCATTTCCCTCGGTGGAAACGAAGCTTTTATTGACTTTTATTTCACAGATAAGAAACAATAAATTGTGAAGACAGTAAAGCCTCCACTAAAATAACTTGTTAAATCTTTATCTATTTATCCTGGCTTCATTCAAGCACAAGAAATCTACACTTGTTGCTAGGCTAATTTATACAATGTGTAACCCTTTTTTCCACCGGCTCGTGTATTAAGAAACCCACCTTATGCTTTAAGATGAAATCTTCTTAACCCTTATGCAATATTTTGTGGCAAAAGAGACATCTCACATAGTAAACAACTGTCTAGGGTAATGTATGATTCTCACTCACTGTACAATGTTAATTTAGCTGGCGGGAATACTCTGACCTGTAACTTATATTTACTCAGCAGTTTGAATGAAAACACCACTCAATGACACAACACAAGATATCAGGTTTTGAAAATGTATCGCACCTGAAAAAACATTCAGACCTTTGGTTTTGGAAAAGAGATGTTTTGTCTAGTCCTAATTGTTCAACCTGAGTGCACTCTTACTTTGTTTTGTTGGCGCGCTTAGTTGGAGCTCATGATGGTTACTGTAATGTCTGTGGGTACCTCTGTGAAGCTAGCGGGGCCAAGCTGCAGTTGCTGATCCACTCCCCCGTTGCGGCGGCCCCCTCGTCGGCGACACTCATCCACGACGACCCGGCAATGCTCGTCCGTGACGACCCAGCGACGCTCATCCACGACGACCCGGCAATCCTCGTCTGTGACGACCCGGCGATGATCCTCCGCGATGACCGTGCAGTTAGCTTTCCACTAGCTCCGACTGGCTAACTCAGCTGAACTTACTTCGTCTCCAGTAAAACAAAAAAAACACTCATCTGCGCTGGGGAGGCTGACTCGCACACTCACGGCATAATTTGCAGACAGCAGTTCAGTCCGTCATGGATAAACCACGGCACAGATATAACACAGTCCCAGAGTCTCCGCTCCACGCCATTAACACATTGCGCCTTCTTCTTCCTCTCTCGGGTCTGTCCGGAAGTGTAAACACTCAAAGGTCATGAACTCACACACATAATATAATGTAATAAGAATTACTTTTTAACTTTTTTTAAAGGCATTCACACCACATGAAATTGTGTTTTTAAAACCACTCATTTTAAACATAAATCATTTATACATTTTAACATCTTAGTTTTATCAAATAGTTATTTATGCAAATTTTAACTTCACCATGAACTGACTTTTTCTTAACTCATTCCCATAAAAAAAGAACATAAATACGACTGATATTTATCAGAGTATTACAAATGTAAAATGCCATAAGCAGGGGCGCCACCAGGAATTTTGGGCCCCATGAAAAAAAAAAATCACATTGAGCCCCCCTGCGCAGCTGTTGTCACCACATCTCTAGGACCTAACTGACCCATTAAAAGCTTTACATAACTCTAACTTCGAAGGCTTGCAACTGTCTTGCTTCTTGTAGGTCAATACTGCCAGTATAATATTTACTATTAGTGAGTTGTACATGCAACAGTCTGCATACAGTATGCCATTCACTATTTGATGCAAGATTAAAAGCCGCCATAAAAAATGTGCTAAAGGCCATCTTTTACAGTCTAAATGTAATTTTTATTGTAAAATCCCAAAATGGAAAATTCTCTTAACATTAATGAAAGACTTTTTTAAAAAAAAACAACTTAAATATACATTAACTTTTTAATCAGAATAAATTAAGATCATCATCTCCTCTCTCTCCTCTCTCTCCTTCCTTTTTTGAAAACCAGATTTTCTTTTAGTAACGTTACTAGGTAGCATTATGATGAATGTAGCATTCTAGCGCAACCGCTGACTGCTACTACGCACCGTCACCATCAGTCATAGATATATATACGTAGATGCCGTATTCAACGGTGCTCCTCATTGGAGCGATACGTCAATGTGGCCGCCATCTTGCCCAGGTGGAGCCGCGCTGCCTAATGCATGTATGTCTGTATATATATATCTATGACCGTCAGTGCGCTAAGGCAGGACCAAACCATTTCATGCAGATACAAGGGGGTGGTCAGTCAATATGGATGTTTACTTTTTGGTCAATGGGGATATTTAACTTTTACTGCCACACACAAGTAAAAACAAAGACATCATTAATTTTATTACCATATTTGAAAAAAAAATTCTTAATGATGATGGTTTAATAATTTTATATTAATTTTTACCTACTTTTGGGGCCCCTGTCAGTCAGGGGCCCTTGGAATCGTCCTAACTTTTCTCCCCTACAGGGCCACTGGCCATAGGCTTGTGCTAATAATATTAGCATGTTATATTTGTTTGCAAATCGTGTTTAGTATAAGACAGTTGTTTTGTCAGTGAACCCTTGTGAGTTGTAGTGGAGCCGAAATTTGTAACATTACCTTTGTTAAATGTTGCTGTTGTCCCTAGCTTCATATGAGTAGAGCACAGAAAAAAAGTCTGCTAGCCGCTAGTCTAATTTATACAATATAAAATGCCATATGTTTGTGCTAAAAAATATTAGCTTGTTATATTTGTGGGGGAAATGTGTCCAACAGAAGATAAATGCTTTGTCTGTGAATGCTGCGAGTTATAGTGACACATTTTGTCTTCATTTCTGTGTCACCCTCAGCAAGAGGACGCCTCAACATTTTGCATTCCACTTTTGGACGTTTCGACGAGTACATCTGCACGGACAGGGCTTCAACAATGACCTTCTGTTCAAGTCCCCAAGCTGGAGTCATTAAAAAAGAGTGTGTACTGGGGCAAAAGACAAAAGATTTTGGGACAAATTCACAAAAGGATTTGCTGTTTGTATTTCAGAATGGCTGATTTAGTATTTTAAAGGTGGAATGAATTTTTGATTTTTTTCATTTTGACATCAATAACTCTTACTTTTCGTTTTGGTTTACCCTCAGCTGTGATGGCTATAGAATTTGCAAATTTCTCTCCAACTCTGGATACCTGGGAAAACCTGCTTTCTGTGATGATCTTCCCAAGTACACCACTGTGGATTATGTTTGTCAGTGATTGGTGAGTTTAAGAATAAATATATGTCCTGTGCACAGTTTTGCAAACAGTTGAAGCATTTAATGTGTCATGTGACACCTGAGGATGTTTTCTTGCAACTTTTAGGAGATTTTCTTCTAACAGCAGCATCCCAGAGAGGAGCAGTGACTTCATAAGTGGTTTCATCTAACTGATCCATTGGCTTCTTCCAAACACATATCAACAAATATGTGGTGGATTAATTTATTAAAAGAGTGCAATAATTGTGTTTTTGTCTTTTTTTGAGAAAATCACATCTGCACCAGTGCAATTAGTTTTTTTTTTGTATGTGTGAAAGTCAGTTCTGCCTGATGGCCAGAGGTGGGAGTAAGTCACACATGTGCAAGTCTCAAGTCATAACTTTCAAGTCTCAAGCAAGTCTCAAGTCACTGTGGTGAAAATTAAGCAAGTCAAGTCGAGTACTTGCAATAAGTCAAGCAAGTCAAGCCATTGGTCAGGTCAAGCGAGTCACAAGTGAAGTCATACTCACAAACTCATAAAGATAATATAACATAGACTGCACCCAGTGATGAAATGTAACTAAGCTCATTTACTCAGGTACTGTCAGTAAGAATCTAAGAAGTCATTGTGGACACTATCTCATGGTGCACACATACACACACACACTCACACATAGTGAACTTAAGTTGGGACAGTCGCTTCACTGTGGCAGTATCAAAACCTTGTACAAATAAGGGGAGAGCCTCAGAGTATAAAGCTAGCAGCACATGTATCGGCTCTCACAGTGGTGACTGTGTGTGTGTAACGGCCTGGAGCTGGCGTGTCGTTGGTTGCAGAGCACGTTCAGTACTCAATGAGTTATTGAAAACTTAACTTAAATATATCACGCAGGTAGAACTGAATAAAAGCACATGGTAAAGCTCAACTGTCATCCTATATCAAAAACAAAACGTAACTTCTCAATGTCTAGAAAAATACAGATATTAGATTAAAAAAGTCAAGTCCATTCAAGTCGTCTGTCCAAGTCAAAGTCTAGTCTCAAGTCATAAATACTAAGTCAAAATCAAGTCTCTGTTACAGTTTTTATCCATGTCTGTGACAACATGGATGCTTCACACATATCTTCCCCCCAGCAGCAACACCCGACATTAGTGTCACCAATTCAGTATCTGACCAAATGTTTCCCCTTCTGTTCCTGAGAGATGACGTTGAGTAATGGCCAGAGAAGTGTTTTGTGCAGAACATTGTGATGTCACAGTGAAGTTGGTCTTTGACTTCATTCACTTCATCATTTTATCCTATCAGACATTTGTGTGATGTTTTGTCATAATTAGCCGAAGAATTCTTGAGTTATGGCCAAAAACATATATTTGAGGTCACATTGAGCTTGACCTTTGACCATCAAAATCTAATACAGTTCATTGTTGAGTCAAAGTGAGTTTTTGCGCCAAATTTGAAGACATTCCCTCAAGAAATTCTTAAGATATCGCATTCACGAGAGCAGGACAGACAGAAGCACAGAAGCATAAAAATAAATAGGAGGCCTGTGCTGACGCAACATGTAGTTACATTTCTTGGGAGGTGCACATCAGGCTAAGGCACAGGCTACAGTGTAGGGTATGCATCTACGCAGAGCCTATGCTGTACTTACGATTGCAAGTTTGTCTGTAAGTCAGAAGAAGATGAGCCTGACACTGATAACACAGTCTAAGAGAGGACAGCGTGAACACTCAGCCGACTGCGTGGCTCGAGATAAGACTGCCGAGGTCATGGGGTGAGCACTGCATACATGAGGACATGTTAGGCTGGATCAAGTTCATATAAGAGCTTTTCTGTTCTGCTGTGTATGTGGGAACAAGCTAAGTGAGAAACAAGAAGTGAACATATTTTACAAGTGGAAAAGGATGACTGGGTTTATTTTAAGGTGTAAACTTTTTTTAAAAATGATCCATTATTTAACGTTTCATCCAAAATAGCAAATTTTACATAAAAAAGTCCAAATCCCTAGTTACAAAGAGATTTTCCATTGCAAAATCAAAAAGAATAATTAATAAATGAATAAAATGTTTAAATTGTCGATATGTAGATATTCTCCTGACTGGGGAACATTTTGACCTTTTCTGATATTCCTTCAGCTGTGACGAAATGGATCACTGTCGACTGTCCAAGCCCCATGCGCACATGTTTTTGTGCAATCACACTGATAATCTTCCTTCAGATCGACTACAACTGTCACAAAAAAAGTCCTGGTGAGTATTCTAAGCACCACTGAGAACGTGCTGATGTACAGCACGTTTTTTTAAATGCACAGGGGTGACAACAATTACTGTTGGTCTGTCCAACATAATGCAATCATTACAATCTGGTGCATCTATTAACCTGTAAATACTTCCTGTTTAATGGCCACTTTTTGGTTAGACTGTGGTAAAAATGTGATGATTCAACTTTTTTGCATTATGTTGAAAAAATCTATAAAAAAGGAAGACATGCAATCAATTAGAATGGTAAGGTTTCAGCCAAAACAAGAAGCCTAAAACAGTCCTGATGTAGCCGGAGGTTGTCTCCCTCCTTGCCACTATTCGGCACTGTGTTTGCTTTCCAACCACCGTGATTGCGGGGAGGGGCCATGCGCACCGTTATATTCAGGCGTGAGGCCGCGCCCCGTCCTCTCTTCCGCTCCTCGCTTGCTCCCGTGGTGGTTGTGGCGTGGCGTGTCAGCGTTGTTTGGCGTGCAGCGTTTGTTTGGTGCAGCCGTCCCGTGTTTGTGACCGCCGTCGAGGCACACAAATCTTCTCTACCCCGGTAAGCATCTGCGGTCTTCTCCTTTTGCTCTGTATGTGCGTAATGCGCAGTTTGGTCACACGCTCTCCACTCCTTGCAGCGCAGCTGACTGCTTGGTCCGGGGGAGGCGGGAGTGGCTCGCTGGAGCCTCGCTGTGTTCAGCTACTGGTCCGCTCTGGTATGTTGTCCGCACGTTGTCTGCCTGTTCATTTTCAACTGTTGCTTGGCTCCCTGCTTATCACTCTCTTGTGCGTAATTCTCAGGCCGTGTGTGTTTAAAGCTGCGTCCTGTGAGGCTCGCATTCGCTGGTTGTTTATGTTCGCTGTGCATGCCTGGCACCCCTGGTATGTATTAATATGGTTTTTTAAGTTAGTTTCAATTCATTTAATTAATTTACTAAATATTAGGTTTTGTTTCTGTTTCTTTTTTTTAGTGGCCTGTAACTCTGGCCATCACTGACCATCATTCCTGGAGCTGCGTTGCTGTTTTGGTTTTCATGTTCTAATTCTGTTTTGGTTATTCTGTTTTGGCTTTTCTGGTTTTGGTTCTTTTCTTTCTTTTCTTTTCTCTTCATTTTGGTGTTTGGTTTCCTGTTTAAAATTTGTTTGTTTTTTTTGTATTGGTTTGCTGTGAGGCGGACTACGCTTTGGCCCGACGCGGCTGGTTGCCGCTTGGACCTACTGACTGAGGTCCCATTGATTTAAGGGCTGTGCTGGGGCCTACATGATTGCCCCTACCACCAACCATGATCTCTTTATTTTAAACCTGGTGTTTATTTGTTTCATTCGTGTTTCTTTGGTGGTTCTTTTCAATTAACTCAGTAATTTTCTCTTTATCTTTTTGGGTTATTAATTGTGATAAATTGATTTAATTA